ACTTACTGAGGGCTGACATAGACAACCACACCAGTACTTCACAAACATTGGTATACTTACTGAGGGCTGACTTAGAAAACTATACCAGTACTTCACAAACATCGGTATACTTACTGAGGGTTGACATAGACAACCATACCAGTACTTCACAAACATTGGTATACTTACTGAGGGCTGACATAGAAAACTACACCAGTACTTCACAAACATTGGTATACTTACTGAGGGCTGACTTAGACAACTATACCAGTACTTCACAAACATCGGTATACTTACTGAGGGCTGACATAGACAACTACACCACTACTTCACAAACATTGGTATACATACTGAGGGTTGACATAGACAACTACACCAGTACTTCACAAACATCGGTATACTTACTGAGGGTTGACATAGACAACCATACCAGTACTTCACAAAGATTGGTATACTTACTGAGGGCTGACATAGAAAACTACACCAGTACTTCACAAACATTGGTAGACTTACTGAGGGCTGACATAGACAACTACACCACTACTTCACAAACATTGGTATACATACTGAGGGTTGACTTAGACAACTACACCAGTACTTCACAAACATTGGTATACATACTGAGGGTTGACTTAGACAACTACACCAGTACTTCACAAACATTGGTATTCTTACTGAGGGCTGACATAGACAACCATACCAGTACTTCACAAAGATTGGTATACTTACTGAGGGCTGACATAGACAACCATACCAGTACTTCACAAAGATTGGTATACTTACTGAGGGCTGACATAGAAAACTACACCAGTACTTCACAAACATTGGTAGACTTACTGAGGGCTGACATAGACAACTACATCACTACTTCACAAACATTGGTATACTTATTGAGGGCTGACACAGACAACTACACCACTACTTCACAAACATTGGTAGACATACTGAGGGCTGACATAGACAACTACACCAGTACTTCACAAACATTGGTATACATACTGAGGGCTGACATAGACAACTACACCAGTACTTCACAAACATTGGTAGACTTATTCAGGGCTTTGGTATGCTTACTCTGGACTTTGGTATACTTACTCAGGGCTTTGGTATTCTTACTCAGGGCTTTGGTATACTTACTCAGGGCTTTGGCATACTTACTCAGGACTTTTGTATAATTACTCAGGACTTGGGTATACTTACTCACAGCTTTGTTATACTTACTCAGGACTTTGGTATACTTACTCAGGGCTTTGGTATTCTTACTCAGGGCTTTGGTATACTTACTCAGGGCTTTGGCATACTTACTCAGGACTTTTGTATAATTACTCAGGACTTGGGTATACTTACTCAGTGCTTTGGTATACTTACTCAGGGCTTTGGTATTCTTACTCAGGGCTTTGGTATACTTACTCAGGGCTTTGGCATACTTACTCAGGACTTTTGTATAATTACTCAGGACTTGGGTATACTTACTCAGGGCTTTGGTATACTTACTCAGGACATTTGTATAATTACTCAGGACTTTGGTATACTTACTCACAGCTTTGGTATAATTACTCAGGGCTTTGGTATACTTACTCTGGACTTTGGTATACTTACTCAGGACTTTGGTATACTTACTCAGGGCTTCGGTATACTTACTCAGGACTTTGGTATACTTACTCAGGGCTTTGGTTTACTTACTCAGGGCTTTGATATACTTACTCAGGGCTTTGGTTTACTTACTCAGGGCTTTGATATACTTACTCAGGGCTTTGGTTTACTTACTGAGAGCTTTCTTGGCGTCCTTTTCCTCCTGTTCCTTGAGAAACTGTGTGAGAGAATGCTGATCTGTTATTTGTCCCTGGTCGTACGACATCACTGAAACCAAGACATGTTGATGGGGAAGATTTTACAATTGAGCCTTAATTATATATAAAATTACTACAGCATGAATCTCTCTACCTGTTCCACAAAAAGTAACAATTTAATTAACTTATTTGGTATTTAGCTTGAATAGGTTACTTTCTTGATGATACATCTGAAATGTACACAAAACTTGAGAACATATTTGAAATGTACGCAAGAATTTGAAAGGTAGACAAGAATGCTTAGGTAATTTCTCAATTATTTAATAACACTAATTAATGACATTATTTAGGACATCACTCTGTCACACAAATAACAGGTTTGAGATGATGCATTAAATACAATTTCTTTGGAGTCTTTGTATTTGGTAGAAGTTTTACTGGAACAGCCTTTAAAATGCTATCTTCATTTTTATTTTTTATATGGTTTTACATTTACATATTTCGGGGTCTCTTTTAAATGATTTCTTCCTGTATAAATCAAATCTATCACTTTTCAAACTGGAACCCAAACTTACCTGGTGAGTGTCTAAATGAAGAGGAGAGTGAGTGCCGTGACCGTAAACCACTACCTTCCAGACTGCTGTGTAGCCCCGACCCCTGGGAGAGGTTGAGCCCCTGGGAGGAGAAGGCTAGCCCAGGGGAATAGGATTGGTTGTGTGAGTAGGACATTCCCGGAGATAGAGATGCATTGTGGGATCCAAAGCTAGCGTTAGGTCCAACACTGAGACTGCTGAGGTTCTGGACGGGCATCTACAGTTAGATATATGAAATATTGATGGTCCATATCTCAATACAGTGACATAGAGTCATAATAATTTACATGGTTCATATCTCAATACAGTGACATAGAGTCATAATAATTTATCTACAGATTAAACATTCTCATAAACTGGTAACAGGTTAATACTGCCAAACACATGTTAAGCGAAACTGGACGATCGCTGGTAATCAGGTAGCTCTATTGAATAGAGCCTCTGACTTTGAAGGGTCCCAGTTTGAATCCCAGTCTCGATGTGCATTCTTCCTTTGGTTCCACATGTATTGAAGTATAGTTTTAAACTACGGGGCAAAGATAAACTAAAGTGACAATTGCTAAGACTGCAATTATGATTAAAACATCTTTTATACACAATTTCAATGCAAATTTCCTCCACTGGAACACTTTTAGGTCGCCTAAAGATTATTCTGGCCCTAAACGACCATAATTGTTGATTGTCCGTTAAACACAAGAAAACAAAGGAAAATGGTGAGCTCAAAATAATATCTGATGTGCAAATTTTTCTCTATATTTATATGAACCAACTGACTTTTTTAATGCATCATTACAGTACAGGGAGAGCTATCATTTCAGGGGAAACAAGATTGTTAGTAGGAGGGTATGAATGGACAGGTTGATATCCATCTTAGATTACGGATAGCAAACTGCAGAATCAATCTTCTGTCATAATATGTCTTTGTTAATTAGTAATCAGGTAAACAGATTGTTTAGAGGTTGGTGAAGACCTACTCTGTCATAGGTGGTACTAGGTGAGCCATACGATCCAAACGACACGGAAGGGGACGGAATGCCAAAGCTCATGTGCCCTGGGTATGCCCCGATGTTGGTGGGTGTGATATGACCCACAGATCGTGGGCTACCACCACTGGAGAAACTTGACTGCCCTGACGGAGTGCTTGCAAATATCAGACTGCCTTCTGAGGAAACTGAGCTTGGAGATTTTGTCGGGGAAACGCGGAACCCAAGTTCTGTTAATAGAAAAAAGTTCCTTGATTTATACATATTAAACAAATAGAAAAATGTATTGTCTAAACTTATTCTTAAAGTGATTAATAATAATTTCAAAATGTGCTGTAATTTTGTTTGTTATTAGTAGGATTAATATTTGAAGTATAAATACAATCTATTACACGCAAATTAACTTAAATAATTTTCATATATGTGAAAAATGCCTTCAGATCTGTTGACATTTCTGGTTATTTACACTCCGCCATTTCAGTTAATAACTGTATATATTATGGTGTCATATTATTACAAAAGATATCACAAGGACCATGTAGACAGCTGGACATTTAAACTGGCAAGTGGACACCAGTTGGAACCAGATTCAGTTCTGCAATTCTTGACAAAGGCAAGGAGGCCAAAAACTGGAATTTAAGATTTCATTGTTTGATAATACAAAGAATATACCAACTCAACCACATATCACTGACATGTTTGGGGTCCTTGGCATTTCTTTGACTTCATTTTGGTATTTATGCAGCTGGCATTATGATATATATAGGGGAAAACATCAGTTAGAATATTGCACAATTTGAGAAGATTTATATTTCTGTAAGCATCAGCCCTTTGGCCAATTCTTCAATGAAATTAAATGACATAACAAACCTGTTTCACGAACTCCCAGTAACTTTTTCTGACTGACAGTAACTTCCACAGTGCTCGGCATGAGATAAGGTCGTATATAAACCATCAGGTTAGCCAATGTGTTGAATAGAAATACTAGAGCCAATGCACATTCTGTAACAATATCAAAACATGTTCTCACATGAGATAACAGTGTACATACAAGTACACTATTAGGTAGGCCAGGAAGAGGAATACCAGAGTCCACATAAATTCTGTATCAGTATTAAATAAAATATTAAATTTTACATGTTCAAATAACAGATCCTTTACTGTATAATCTGTCTAAACTGAACTCTGTACAAACCATCAATCTTCAACAGTTTTCAACATTTTCTATTCAAAGTTACTGGTCCCTAAGTCGTGTTTATTTAAAATGATTTCAATAGACCATTATACTATATAACATGAAACCCAAATAAGTTATTACAGTACTTATAAACATTATTTATTGAGACTTGTGAACAGTTGCAATTGAATCTTGTACCAGGCATAATTGATTTGTCATGTCTACATTGAGATAAACACTTACCTGTATACCACAACAAAGGGTGAGTCACCTCAAAGCAGGACCCAATTGTGTTGAAATTCCTGGAGAAAAAAATGTTAAATGATCTTTATGACATCATGTACAGTAACACAGTAATTGAAACAGTGTCTTATTTTCTATTTTCACCAAACATTTCAAATTAACCTTGAATTAAAAATGGACGAACCTTTCTGAATCATGCTGATCCAATCAGTGAATCTATACATGTCTAGATACCACTGACCAGCCATATATGCAGCAGTATTACGTATACATATACAGCAACAATAAACATGCATGCTCCCTTGTTTTTTTGTATTCATGGAAAATATCATGACAAAATTGAAGCATAGTAATTATAAGCGATTTGATTGTTTTCAGGTGAAAAAGCTGACCAATCACTAGGTTGATACCTGTCCTTTGAAGATTATAGTGAAGCAACACTCGATTTCAAAGCAGGTCAATTTTACTGTTACCTTGCAATACAAATCTTTATATGTAAATCAAGTGACCAACTAGTCTATTTGTATCATCCACAAGGTGGCAAATACAAAACTTTCCATATCATGACATATTTCTTCAGGGGTGTAGAGAATTTAAGTGAGCAGGTAATCCCTGGAATTTTGAGGATGACTCTACAATTCCATCTTTTCGTATTGCAGAGTTATCTGCTCTTGTGAGCAGGTATTGATTGTTACGTCATAAATTTCTGAGAAAATGACGTAATTTTCTCACACAAACTAATGACGCAACAATCAATACCTGCTCACAAGAGCAGATAACTCTGCAATACGAAAAGACGGAATACTCATGAGTTATAAGGTATTCCATTTCTGTCACAGAAGTTAATTTTTTTGATGATAGCTACTACATGTACCTTATTGTACTAATCTTGCCGAATAAATCAGGAACTCCACAATCTCCTGATTTAAATTGATTTCTCTATTTACCGCTTTCTATAAAACCTTCAAATTTAAAAACTTTAAATGTTATTCTTTCTTACAGATTTACACATACATGTATTCGTTGACTAAATGAGAAAAAGGATTTTTATTTAATTGCAGTTTTTTGAAGATTTTTTTTTTGGGAAGTGGTCTGTCAAGGGTCTATCATGTGTATAGACTATAAGTGAGATGGTGAAAATCCATTAAATAATCATCAAGGAATTTCCTAAATGGCACTCTATATTAACTCTTATATAACAGGCCTGGAATTTGATTGTGTGTGTCCTTATAAGAACAAACAAATACAGTCAGCCTCAGGAAATTCAAAGTATAATAAGACAGACTTACAGCTCGTAGTACAGCAGTAGAGACAGGAGAAGATTAACGCCGAACCAGAACAGGGACTGTCGGGACTTTTTCCAGGACCGACGTTTTCTCCATGCTTTGTCCACCACTGGGTCTGTTATGTTCCCTATCACCATTTTCACTGTCTGCATAAAGTATTAATTACTGGTACATATTGTTGTTGTAATCTAACAATAAATAAACCAACCAAACCAGAACAATATTCTTCATCAGAAGGAATATTAGAATCAGTAACCTGAGGCAAATATCACAGGGCCACTCTCATCATTCCAAACTTTGGAGTATTCTTAGCTGTTTGGGACCCATATTGCCTATTTCAACATGGATAACACTTGAAGAATTATTAGTAGGATTTAATAGCATAATTTATGGACGCAGGCATACACTGCCTCTAAGTCCATATCAATAATATTACAATTTGCATACAAATTATTTGTTACTTCCGCGAAATTATGTCCCGCCAAGTGATAAGCTGCAGTATATTTGCCTGTGAGGATTATTGCAGTAGATATCCTGAAGCAGTAACATCAATGTCATGCATGCATCTTGTTATTTTCCTAAACTTATAGTCACTCTTGTTGGTCCAGATGGAGGTGCAAGAGATGGTGTTTTGGGAGGAAACTGGAAAATTCGCAGAAAGCCCACATGATCAGGCATGCGCAATGACCTAGGCCTGATGCCTTTTAATGTCTGATCAGAAAATCAAACCCCAGTGGTATTAGTGATACTATATCTCTTGATGTTTGATATATATACATATGTACATGCATGTGTAACAGGAGAATAAGAAATGCAAGGGCCACACCCAGATTCGAACCTGAGACCTTCCAAACTCGACCGATTGAGCTACCTGGTCCCCAACGATCGACCCAGTCCAGCTCTGTTACACCTGCTTGAGCGCTATCTATACTGCACCACCTGATATCTCCCACATCTATCTTCGGGAGAATTTCAGCTATATACAAGTGTAACAGAGCTGGACTGGGTCGATTGTCGGGCACCAGGGCTACATTCGCGTATCCCGGTTGAAAGGGTACGTGTGGCGCAGAAATTTTCCACGATAAACGAACACGCTTGGACTGTTCTATAAGCAGAGCTAAAAATCCACAGTTTCGGAGAATAAAAAACAATGTATCAAGAATATTATGCCCTTCTCTCACGCGTCCACTAAATTACATACCGTATCTTAAAAATTACATGTAACTTGACATTGTTTAAGAAAGAAATAACGCGAACTGGCAATAGTCAGCATTTAAGTTTCGGTCAGGTATGTCTGGACCCCTCAATCTACATGTACCAAATTTTCCTGAGGTCAGCCTCGGTCCAAATCTGTACCTGTCGTTTTCTTTACAGGTTCAACCGTTTCAACTGGATACGCGAATGTAGCCCAAGTATCTCAATTGGTCGAGTTCGGAAGGTCAGGGGTTCGAATCTGGGTCCGACCCCTCACTCAATCATGCAGCATTTTTCATCCTCCTGTTAAACATGTGTATATCACACATCAGAGAGTACATTTAGGTGGCGTTTTCTTTACAGGTTCAACCGTTTCAACCCGATACACGAATGTACCCATAGTGCCGGCATGACCTGTTACCACTTCTACAGGGTACTGACCAACTTCAACAATTTGAAGATTAATGTCAGAGAAGGGTTTAGATGGGAAGAGGAAAGATTTTTTTGACAGGAGGAATTTAGCTTGTTTTTGAAAAGTGACGGTAGAGGCTCCGAAAGAGTTTGTTGTCAGGCTAGATACAGTATCGGGAGGGAGTTTATTACAGTTTATTATAGTTCGAGCACAGAGGACTAAAGTTAGCAACTATTTATATAATATGGGATAAGAATAAAAATAACGAGAAAAAATACGTTATTGTACTGTACTGTAGTCTGTAACGTTATGTACAGTTACGTAATTTTTCTCGCTATTCTATTCTTATCCCATATAAATCGTTGCTAGCCCCTGTGGTTAAAGCGATAACGGTGTACGTGTGTCAAACAATGTGTCGATCTGTATAGCGTGAAGCTTACCTTGCAATGTTTTCATTCATCCCGCGTGAGAAAAAACTTTACTTCCGGTTTCATGAAGTAGGTTGTTACTGACTCATATGATTGGTTGAAATAGTTTATTTCATAAATATTAGTCTATTTTTATGAATATAAACCGCGTTAAATATGTCTTTAAAATGCGTTTGAATTATGAAAACGGATGTAGTTTCTCTTAGATATTTTCTATATATTTACTGCCGGATTAAAGTTTGAAAAGAAAGATGGCAGACGATCAGGAGCAGGTGCGTGATAGATGCGTTGTAAAAATAACTACTGGCATAAGTTGGTTGTAATACGACATGCAACCTTCCATGAATCATAAAAATGATACCTCTTATCAAACTGTTATGTGGGCTTATTTCAATGGTTTTTCGTTTTCTACATTGCACAAGGTTTTAGTAGATACCGGCTTTTTTGACAAAGTTACCTCCCTTATGCATGTTTTTTAAGAGCACAAACCAAGGAATATCACAGGTATCGGGCCGCAAGCATTCACCCCACTCCCTTTTTGGTATGGACATATGTAAAACTCTGAAATAGTCTTATACTATTGAGTACTGGGGAAGATTTTTTTTACACATTTACATTACAAACTCTGATGTCTTTCGTTATTTATAAATGAAAGGTTTCAGGGAAGCTGTTTGTTTTTAATAATGACAAGATTTTATTATATTCCCGGTTTGTATTGATAGTGCAAAGACTTCCTTTTTCAACAATTTTAAACACTGACACATCTTTTTTGATATTCCAAACTTACACATCTGTAACAGGAGAAAGAGAAATTCAACAGCCAGACCAAGGTTCGAACACAGGACCCTCCGAACTCTCTAGACAGACGCTTTTCCAATTGAGCTACCAGGTTTCGGATGATCGACCGAATCCCGTTCCGCTACATTCCTTCCTCCTTTTTCTAAGTCTTTGCCTCTGAAGACAACTTTTTACAATTCAGGTTCATATATCCACTTGCTAAGCATTCACCCAGTGATTGAAACAAGGGTAGGCAAACTAGCCAATTTAGTAACAGGACGAAGAAAGAAATGCAACAGCCAGACAAGGGTTCGAACTTGGGACCCTCAAACTCGAAATGGACGCTAAACCAATTGAGCTACCTGGTCACCGACAATCGACCCAGTCCAGTTCCGCTACACATCAATGGATTTTAATATTAATGTAACCTAAGAGGAAAATGCATGACAGTTTTTCAAGTCTCTTAACTCATATGGACGCTCTGATTGACCCATTCAAGTTCTGCTACATTCCTCCCTCTTTTTTCTAAGTCTTAACCCCGAGGACAAAACTATTTACAATCCAGGTTTGGGTATTCCTTTGCCAGGTGTACATGTACACCCATGGGCCAGTACATCAAACAATTCAAGGTTGGTCACAGGCATCCCTTTAGCACTGGAGAGGGGACAATGCATGGCAAGACCAGAATTTATACCAAGGACCTCTGAACTCTTAGCTTTAAACAGATGCTCCAACCAATTGAGCTGTCTGGTTGTGGTGAACAACCAAGTCTTGTTCTGCTACGTTCCTCCTTCCTCTTTCTACAACAATTTACAACCCAGGCTCTTGTATCCCCTTGCATTGCCAAGCATACACCCAGTACTTGTATCCCCTTGCCAAGCATACACCCAGTACGTGTTTCCCCTTGCCAAGCATACACCCAGTACTTGCAATTGTATCCCCTTGCCAAGCATACACCCAGTACTTGTATCCCCTTGCTAAGCATACACCCAGTACTTGTATCCCCTTGCCAAGCTTACACCCAGTACTTGTATCCCCTTGCCAAGCATTCACCCAGTACGTGTTTCCCCTTGCCAAGCATACCCCCAGTACTTGCAATTGTATCCCCTTGCCAAGCATACACCTAGTACTTGTATCCCTTTGCCAAGCATACACCCAGTACTTGTATCCCCTTGCTAAGCATACACCCAGTACTTGTATCCCCTTGCCAAGCTTACACCCAGTACTTGTATCCCCCTGCCAAGCATACACCCAGTACTTGTATCCCCTTGCTAAGCATACACCCAGTACTTGTATCCCCTTGCCAAGCACACACCCAGTACTTGTATCCCCTTGCCAAGCATACCCCCAGTACTTGTATCCCCTTGCCAAGCATACCCCCAGTACTTGTATCCCCTTGCCAAGCATACCCCCAGTACTTGTATCCCCTTGCCAAGCATACACCTAGTACTTGTATCCCTTTGCCAAGCATACACCCAGTACTTGTATCCCCTTGCTAAGCATACACCCAGTACTTGTATCCCCTTGCCAAGCATACACCCAGTACTTGAAACAAGGGTTGGTCACAGGCACCAATGTGTCCGAAGATGAAAAATGCTAGACCAGAATTCGAACCTGGGATCTCCTAACACTAGACTGACACTCTAACCAGTTTAGTTACATGATCACAGGAGATTGACCCAGTCCAGGCCTACCACATATTGATATTCATTTAAATTATTAGTAAAAATAACCACTATTAAATGTTGTGTACATTGTTACCTGCAAACAATAGGCTAGCTGTAAAGCTTTTATTATGACACTGAATAAAGAACAAATTAGTTACATCCACGAATGTTTTTGTTGTTGGAGGAAAATCCTTGTCAAGGGAATCACTGTAACATGAAAAAGAATACAAAACCCCAGATCACTTGGACAGCAATCCCTTTTTCCACCACTGCCAGGAGTTAAAACAAAATATAAGGGGAAGGGAGACATGTCAACCTCAGATTTGTTTGCATGAGAGCATATTTGGTCTTAAAAATGACCGGTCATGATCAATTTAGGTTCAAAATCAGGCAAATTTAAGTTTTAATTTCCACTGGAAAAATGGCTCTTCAGTTTAAAATAGATGGATCCTTTGGAATTTCATTTGCCAGTGCAGTGGCCCAGTGTTTTGTCTGCATATTTTTGGAACATTTTACATATATATGTGATGTTGGGAATGACTTAATGATAAATTGCATTGTTTTGGAAGACGTTGCTGCAATTTATTGGGAGAAGGGAGAGTGGGGATATGGGTTGAACATTTCATTTCACCAAGTGGAAATTTGACTTTGATCATAACTTAATATTGGCCACTTGGTAATTTTGAGGATGAAATTGCAAATACAACTTCGTTTCCTCTTAAAAAAAAAATGTGGAACTTCAAAAAAATGGTTATGTACCACCTTCTGTGTGTGTATTTTTCTATGTAGTTACATGGTATATTGAACAGAATGAAACGAACAGACCTCAAGCCTTACACATGTCTATTTCTAAATAAGGGAAGACAAAATTGCTTAATTTTCAATTGTTTTTTTCATTACAGCAAGCCCCTGTGCAAAATGTGGAGGAACCCCTTGATTTGATCAGACTAAGTCTTGATGAAAGGATCTACGTCAAAATGAGGAATGAGCGTGAGCTGAAAGGAAGGCTGCATGTATGTTTTACTCGTTGTCCTCACACCCCTGGAGTTCAAATATCTTTAACATTATAATAACCAGATTTAGTGCAAAACAGCAAATGGGAAAATATATTTAGTTGAAATGTTTCTTTTGTTACAAAAGTTTGAAGACAGGAGTATTGAGGACATTCATGGAAAGGATGTTTAAAATCATTTGGCAAACAAAACTTCTAATGAAACCTCACACAAACATGTTCAGTTTTTAAACGAAATCAGGCAGTGTCAACAATCTTTAAACATATGAGACTTAATTATTTGTGGAATTAGTAAATGATAGGTGTCTCAAATTCTCATTTCTGAAGCCAGATTGTGATATTTGTGTAAGAATATGGAGAATAGCTAAATGTTTGCACATCACTGATTTAGGGCTGTCACAATATATCAGAAAACAGGTATATCGCAATATGAAAATTTATGAGGATACGTATTGTAATATATTCATTATGAATTGCAATATTTCGTGATACACTCTTGGCGTATTGTGACACCCCTACTGTCATTTAATTTGGTATTACAGTTTTCGATGACAGCCCTGTGTCCCTAAAAAAAAAAAATATGAATGAATTTTTGTGGAGAAAGCAGAATACACTGTTATACTGTGGTATGATATTGTTTTAACATACCACCATTACCTTCTCAACAAGATTTTTGCCACATTCTGATCTGATAGGGGTTATAGTAAAATTATGATAGATTTATCTAGTGATGGTAATATTAAATGGTTCCTAATTAAAAACCAATAGTATGTTAAAAGTTGTTAGTCTAAGATGAAATAGAAACATGTTTACTGGTTTTTATAGCTGAACTGGAAAATAGTGGAGATAGATCAGTGAATGATATCATTTCAATCTTCCTTAGCAAAAGACATAATAATAATAATCAGTAAAAAGGTTTATCAGCCGTTAACAATGACGTAACTTGTACTATTTCTATCAGATTTATGTTTCTTTTGTAGGCATATGATCAGCATCTCAACATGATTATGGGGGACGTTGAGGAAACCGTGACCACAGTGGAGATTGATGAGGAAACATATGAAGAAATTTACAAGGTAACTCTTATTCCAATGTCATCCATGTCATTAGAAAATGATTAAATTTTCAGTGATTTTTGGGACACAGGTTTTTGAGTTCTGATCCCAGGCTTTCCTTTGGGACTCAATCACATTTTCGGAGAACCTTTTGTATCTCTTCAGTATTAAATGAGGCTTTAATATTAAAATTTTGACAATAGCTTTCAATCTGAAAAAAATCTTACAAAAGGCACTGACTTCATTGTTCAAAGGGAGTGCCTGTCAACAATGAGTGAATAAATGTAATTACAATAAATACTTAATCCAAATTAGGTCACATTGTTTAAGTCTTGAGTTCCACACGTTAATTCCCAACAAAGACAGGAATGCTCCCCTAGAATCAGGCTGTTTGTCTGTCCATCTGTAGACATAAGTGGTAGTTATATTATTGTTGTTGTTCCAGTCGACTAAGAGGAATATCCCGATGCTGTTTGTACGTGGAGATGGTGTGATTCTGGTGTCGCCGCCCATGAGAACAGGGACATAAACAAAGCAATCGGACATTTTTATATTTTCTGTATTTTTTTTTCGCCAACTTTGTACTGTATATGTTAATCATGATCTGCATCAAACACATTAAAGTCACATTCATTTGTAAGTCTGTTGTTTGTTGTTGTTACTGGTACAGAAATGTAGGAGGGATTGGATTATCTCCCTTTACAAAATTAGTTTTATTGCTGAATTTATCTGTAATAATTGAAAAAAAATCAAAGTATAAAATAACATTCAGAAGTTTGTAGATAGTGAACAGGAAAAGATAAGGAATAAAATAAATAAGATGTTCATATATTTTAATTTCTTAATAAAGAGAAGATATTTTATACTAAACTAACACAGTGAGCCTGTTATAGAAATAAGACTGGAGATGACACAGGTTTCAGTGGAGAATTTGTTGTGAGATAATCGTATAGATGGATTGAATTCAAATCCTTGTCACCATATTTATTTAAATAGGTTGAACCCAGGTTCTAAAAACAGTCGTTTGCTATTTTAAAAGTCGTAGTAAAATCATTCCAGGTTGGCTTTTTTACCGTAAAGTATTCTGAATTCACATTATTTTATCACTTATCTTTTTAATATATGTATATATATATATGTTTTTACAGCCTCTTGGTGTGCTAACTAGAAAAAACATGTCCAGTGAATGAATATCCCACACCATATCTCCCTCGCCTACACTAAGTGCAGGTGATTTCAATCAAGTGAAGTACCTAGGGTCCTGATATCTGGGATAGATTGCAATCGACTTTCCTCAAATGAGAGGCCCAGAGGGTCTGTATCGCTCAACTGAATATGTTTAAAATAATTGTTATGAAGTAAAGATATAGCACTCCATGGTAGGTGCTGTAAGTACATATGAAATTTCAGAAAGATCCATCCACTACTTGAGATATAGCGAGAACAAACTTCAAACAGTGCCCCACCCCTATGCCACTAGGGGGGGTCATACCCACCTATTATACAAAATTAAGTCTCCTTGGCCCAAGGATGCTCCAGACTAAATAAGGATAAAATCCCTTAATCCCGATGGTCAAAGAAGGATTTTAAAGGTTTTACCTCTAGTTCTCCTATTGGGCCCTGCCCTTCTGCCCCCTGGGCGACCAAACCCACTGCTTATACAAAATTGAGTCCCCTTGGCCCAAGGATGCTCCAGACTAAATTGGGATACAATCCCTTAATCCCTATGGTAGAAGAAGGATTATAAAGGTTTTACCTCTATTTCCCCTATTGGGCCCGCCCCTCAGGTCCCAGGGGAGCCACACCCACCGATAACACAAAATTAGTTCTTCTTTACCCAAGGATGCTTTATATTAAATTTGGACAAAATCCTGTCATTCCTACAGAAGAAGAGGGATTTTGAAGAATTTGCTATGTTTCCCCTATTGGGCCACTCCCTTCTGTCCCCAGGGGGGCCAAACTCGCTGTTTATACGAAATTAAGGATGCTCCAGACTAAATTAGGATAAAACCCCTTAATCCCTATGGTAGAAGAAGGATTATAAAGGTTTTACCTCTATTTCACCCATTGGGCTCAGGTCCCAGGGGGCCAGACCCGCCGTTTTATACAAAATTGGTTACCCTTTACCCAAGGATGCTCCACACCAAATATGGACCAAATCCTTTCATCCTACAGAAGAAGAAGGATTTTAAAGAATAATTTGCTATGTTTCCCCTATTGGACCCCAACCCTCAGACCCACGGTTTATACAAAATTGGTTCCCGTTCACCTAAGGATGCTTCAGACCAAATATGGAACAAATCCTTTCATTCCTACAGTTAATAAGAAGGATTTTAAAGAATTTGCTATGATTCCCCTGGGGGGCCAGACCCACGGTTTATACAAAATTGGTTCCCCTTCACCCAATGATGCTTCACACCAAATATGGAACAAATCCTTACATTCCTACAGTTAATAAGAAGGATTGTAAAGAATTTGCTATGATTCCCCTGGGGGGCCAGACCCACGGTTTATACAAAAATGATTCCCCTTCACCAAATGATGGTTCAGACCAAATATGGAACAAATCCTTTCATTCCTACAGAAGAAGAAGGGTTTTAAAGAATTTGCTATATTTCTCCTATTGGTCCCCGCCCCTCAGACCCACCATTTATACAAAATGTGTTCCCCTTCCCCCAAGGATGCTTCTGACCAAATATGGAACAAATCCTTTCATTCCTACTGAAGAAGGGTTTTAAAGAATTTGCTATATTTCCCCTATTTGGCCCCGCCCCTCAGACCCACCATTTATACAAAATGTGTTCCCCTTCCCCCAAGGATGCTTCTGACCAAATATGGAACAAATCCTTTCATTCCTACTGAAGAAGGGTTTTAAAGAATTTGCTATATTTTCCCTATTTGGCCCCGCTCCTCAGACCCACCATTTATACAAAATTTGTTCCCCTTTCCCCAAGGATGCTTCTGACCAAATTTGGTCAAAATCTGCTCAGTCGTTAATGAAAAGTAGCGATATTTTGGAAAAGTTGACGGACGCCGCGCCATGGCATAAGCTAATCGGTCCTTCGGACCAGGTGAGCTAAAAACTTTTTTGAACTTCTTTCAAGGTCATAGGGGTCAAATATGACATCTATTGAATAACCAAAATATCCAGGGTGAATGATTTAGCCGGTATTGCATGGACGAAGTGCTTCACAATTTACTCAATTAAATGACCTTGACCTATTCTGAATATCACATGGGTCAAAATATGAAAAAATAATAATATATTAAATGACTTCTGAATAATCAAGAGGCACAGAATTTGAGCAGTATCATGTTCATATGGAGTGCTACAGATTGTCCTCAAATAAATTACCTTGCTTATGCTCAAGGTTAAGGGTCAAATATGTGAAACCCTTCAAAAGATCTTTTCTTGAATAACCAAAAGGCCCAGGGTAATGCTATTTGGCCCGTAGTATGTTTTGATAAATTACATTGACTAACTGTCAAGATCACGGGTCAAATATGTAAAAAAAACTGTATAGAACTTCTTCTGAGTAACCAAAAGCCACTGGATGTTGATTTTAGCCAGTAGGATAATGGGATGGATTTCTATAAATTTCCTCAAATGAATGGCATTGACCTATTTTCAAGGTCAAAGGTCAAATATATTCAAAGAACTTCTTTGGAATAGTTGGAGTGTAAGGGTGATATTTGGCCAGAACCTGGGGTGGGTGCTATAACTCTGACTACTTCCGAGGTCACAGGGATCAAATCCTGTGAGTAATCAGGAGACCCAGGGTGATCATATTTAGTCAGTAGCATGCAGTGCTATGTTATTTCTTCAAAAACATGAACTTGAACTTCTTTCAAGGTCACATGGGTTAAATGTGTAAAAACCTTTAAATAATTTGTTTTGTACATGGTTATGATTTAAAGCCAGTATTATACTATAATGCTACATTTTATGCTTCAGTGCACTGTACTATTCACAATGGTAAAGTATGCTTCAGTGCGCTCTGTACTATTCACAATGGTAAGGTATGCTGCAATGTAATTGGTCATCTGAGTGGGGATATGGATGACAATATCTTCTCAGTTTTCTTTAAATGTTCTTGAAGACAAAGTATTGATGCTTACTCGAATGGAGGGCTACGAAGTCTGTTTTATTGAATTACCTTACTTTCAAGGTCACAGGGATCTAATTTATTAAAATAACATTCACATTTTCTCACGATCTGTAATGGCGAGAGAAATGCAATTTGGTATGTAGCTTGCTTGGCTTCTTAAAAGTTCAATTTTCCTTAAAACAAAATAAGCATACATTCACATGTAATATAACAATTTCCTTATTATAAAACCTTTCAAAATCTTTAACTGGACCTCATCAAATTCTTACATGTCAAAGGAGTTCCGTTTGATTCAACCGACAGCTTTTTATTTCCATTGAGTACAAGGTCTAAATTAACAAACATATTTAATTGATTTAAGTGAAGAAAATATTATTCCTCAAAACTACATAATGGTGACACTCCACGAAGCAGTGTTAAGGATTTTCACATTGATGTCCATAGCTACATACCGGGCTGTCGGTCTTACTCTAAATAAATCATTATCTAGTGGGACACATTTACAACGAGGCTTAGTAAGCAAGATATTAAACTTCACCTCCAAATGATAAATGGGTAAGCCTCAATTTCATGTTTATTTCAAATGTCTTTATAAAAATAAGGTCAAACTCTGTATGAATTGTCACTATCTTAAACATCATTTTGACGAATTTATTCTTTTAAATATATAATATATTTCAAATAAAATGTCGATGACAGGAAATGTTTCTACCTACCTAACCGTACAATAAGTTAATATAAACTAACGGTATTTTAAGCATGACGTTCGGTAGATAATGCTACTCGTGTATAGATAAAATAGGCTTTGTATTATAAGTTCGATCATTTTGTACAGTAATAAATTATTATTTAATGTTTATTTATTAAACACAAGCCCTAATATTATCACCGCCGTCCTTAGAGAGTATTATCGCCATTGTACATAATACAAAGATCAAAAGTTCCCGACAGAGCGGTCGTATCAAACTTATTTTAGAAGGTATTATGATTAACGTAGACTGATGAACATGACTTTGGGCGCCGACATATACCCGTAGTAATGTAGATTTTATTAAAGATCAATAGTCTAATTTATTTTCAGCAATGTTTCACTGTTTAACAAATATAAAGCGCTATGATACATTTTTCGGTATCAAAGAAATTCTAATCTCTCCATATATACCATGAGCGGAAGAAAATGTTAAAGATAATTTCAGGAGTAATAAGAATGCAGCAGCACCATTTTGCTTGCCTGATGCAATTATGTATTAACTCACGGTACATGTTGAAGATAGAATAATTATAGCAAGTTTTAGTTGTAACGGGGACCGTTGCCGAAGTCCCCAAGCTGCCCTGTATTTTGCAAATGATGCATCGGAGGAACTTACAATGCCATATCACACTTACATAATTACGTGTTTGTTCGCATTATTACAACTTTCCAGTATTTTTTCCTCATAAGTGACCATAAATGGCATTCGTACTTACATACTAATTTTGAGCTAAATCAGAAAATGTGAGGGACCGTTGGCATCTCCTTGGCGTACACCCA